ATTTGAAATATTTTAATTTCGTCAAAAAATTTCAGTACCTACTCGAATTTTTTTCTCGAAAGTCGGTAGGAATTCAGGGGTATGCGTATTCACAAAAAATGATTGTAATTGTGCCCCGCAACCGAAAATAATTTTTCCAGAATGATTTGGAACTTTTCAATTTCGCCGAAAAATTTAGGCACCCACCCCACCTGACGATTTTTCTTAAAAATTTGTTTTTCATTTTTAATAAATTTCTTTGAGGTCCTACGGAAATGTTGTCTAATACTTTTTTGTAGGTACCCATAAGCTCTACTTCAGAAAAAAGTTTCATTGAAATATATTCACTATTGTAAGAGTTATGGCTGTTTGAAAATTGGACCATTATTATGGGGGGTTTCTCACTTTACGGGGTTATGGACCAATTTTTCAAATATTCTTAGAATTTCTATATATTCTTCAGTAAAATACGCGTTGTTTGCATTTCGAAAAATTAAAATCCTCCAATCCGTTCAGACGTTATAACATTTTGAAGATTCACATGAAATTTTAGAGAAGCATTTTCTTCCCCTCACATTCGATTTTCGGTAAAGAATTTTTTTCTCGACAATGCGTAGAATTTCGGGATATGTCTATTCATCAAAAATGCTTGTAATTGACCCCTGTAACTAAATATAATTTCTTTAGTATAATTTGAAATATTTTAATTTCGTCAAAAAATTTCAGTACCTACTCGAATTTTTTTCTCGAAAGTGGGTAGGAATTCTGGGGTATGTGTATTCACAAAAAATGATTGTAATTGTGCCTCGCAACCAAAAATAATTTTTTCAAATTCGTCTGAAATTTCTTGATTTAATTTTTTAATAACTTTTTAATGAAGCCTGAGTTAAGAAATTGATATTCTAGAATCTCCCATTAAAATTTTTCCCAGGTTTGGCCAAACACCCTGTATATATTTAATATCTATTTCAATTATTGCGCTATCTATTACATATTTTCTTATTTAATCCTTAAGTAGATTATTAGACCCTCCACAAGTTGAAACTAATACTGTATAATATATGTAATTATTTGAAAATTTATGTAATCCTCCATCAGTTTTATGCTTTTTAAATGCTTTGCAAGAAAGTTGATTTCCATTTATCAATGTTGATAAGAATCAACATTAAATAGAATAATTCAGTTGAGATTGAGTATCCACTTAAGAGTTAAACGAACAATCAAAAAATAAACGTTCGTTTATTTGTAATTTATTTTTCGCGAATCATTACATCGTCGCAAATTTTCATCTCCATTTTTAATCTCTCTTATCGAGATATTAAATTAAAATTCAATATATATATATATTTAATACCTATTTAAATCGTCGAAACCTACCTTGGATTAAATCTAATTCGAGAAACGTTCAGTGTTCAATCCTCACAATTTTGCTCCAAATTGTCAATCCGTTTCACAGATCGATCCTACGAGCAATTATACAAACTGCCTCCAGAATTTGTTCCATTAAAAAACAATGGCGTTTCGTAGGCGGTCCTGGAACAGAGAACTGTCCTCGATTTAGGAAAACGATTAGTCCTCATCCGTAGGACAAGTCACGGTGGACTTGCCGCGATACCAGGAACCGTAACGTTATGATTATTGTAATTAAATCGTCCCTGCGGGCATCGGTAAAGGGTAGAGAAGAGTCCCTCCCCCTACCTCTTCGCGTTCTCTTTCTTCGTCTAAATGTATTTCCGTTTCCCTTCTGTTACTACTCCTCCTCCTCCTTTGCTTTGGCTACCTGCACCACCGAAACATCTCTTTGTATCCTTTCTCTTGGCGGAATCTTATCGAGAATTTCGAGAAGCCAGCAATTATTCTTCGCACCCCCTTCGATGATTGCGGCCCGATAAATCGTCGCGATTGCGAAATTGCGGAAAAGGGACAGAGGAATAGCAATCTGTTCTCGATTACGATTTAAAAACCGCCCTCATAACTCACGGAGTCACGTTTTAATTGTATCTTCCTTATTCCATCTGCTATTACATTATTTTTTTTAAACCGTTTGCTTATTTCGAATTTTTTGGGGGCAATCATTTTTCGAAATACCTGATAAACACTACGATAATGATGAACAAGTTTACAACAATATCTGCGTTATGCATCTTAACGTTCCACGTCGACAATGGTGGATGTCCACGGTAATAAAAGGAGATCGGAAACTATTAATCGACCCAAACACGGAAAGGAAAGGACGCGAGCAACGATGATCCCAAGCGATGAAAAAGCATATGGGTTCGCAAAATGTTTGCCCGGTTTTTCATTATGCTTTATTGTCACGGGAGGGTGCCGGAATTAATTAAAGTTAAACATTGCTAACTGCAGGGCAAGCAGGTTAACTGCTGGCTTGCGTCGGGCAAACGCGATAGTTCGGAAAGTAGAACGCTAACAGTATGTGTGCGCAATAAAGGACGCTGAAAAGAGGTCGCAAAGGGATGCACGGAGAGTCATTTACCTTCGTAAAAGCAATTCCGGGAAGAGCACGGTCCGATTTTTCACGACAAAGCGTTTGGAAACGTTTATAGCAGGAACCGTTAACGTTTCTCGGAATCTAAATTCTTTACTGTCACAGACACATTTGTTATTTAAATTTACGTTTGGAAATTATTTACGATTTCAACATCAGATAAAGCTTGTACATTATCGTTTGATGGTAGTTTATTGAATTGTAAATAGTTTCACAGAATTCGTAAATTTAAGTAAAGAGATTAATAAGAATTGTATTTTTCTAATTTAAATTTGAAAGAGTAAATTATAGTCATCGTTTATTCTTTGGTAAAAATAAACTCTTTATGGTAAGACAGAAAATATTCATACGATATAAATTGATACTTTTAAAGGATTTAAAAAATAAACAGAATATATCCTCGAGAAGGAAGAAAATTGAATTATTTGTAAATTATTGAAAAATGAAGGATAGGGGTAGTAAAATATTAGTAGCAGGTCGAGGGTTCCTTTGAATTAATTTCTATTTCCAATCAATAACAACAATATTTAAATATACATTATAATAGACTAGGCTGACAGTATCCTCCAATTCCCACCCCTTTTTGGTATGACTACGCGATAACGCTCATCGTACGACTTCCAAACACTCGACTCGCGCTTACACAACACGCTGATTACTTAATTAGAACACTAATACGATCCTTACACACTGAACAGGCCCAAAGGCGAACGAACCGAACCACACAAAACAAGGAACAACGGGTATCTACGAGAAACCTTCAACGAAAACGAAACCTGTACATTCCGGGGCGGTTGCACGCTGGAGATTACTCTGAAAACTATTAAACGCGACAATATTTGCAAAATAAATCATCGATCGTCGAAATTATGCTCTGCATTGTACGTCACACGATACTCTAAACATATTTTCTGAATCTAAATAATCCATATTTAGGTTCTTTGTAAGAAATTTAAGAAAAAACCAACTCCAGCTTCGCAAGTGTAATCAATTCATAAATGGTAGATGTATAAACTCATAAACAATGAGCATAATATAGCACGAAGGCATAAAATCAGAGTAATAACAAAACTGGTTTTCATAGTAGTTGTGTACATTCTGCAAGTAATCAACTGATGTAACGATTTACGTATTTACTTATAATTCCCTCTTGAGGGACTGATTGTAATACTCGTCAAGTCAATAAAAAAAAAACATATTGCAATTAATCGCATCAGTGTCATTTATACTAATTTTTGAATCGATTTCTGTACGTTATTATTGAATTTTATACCTCTTTACTAAATTCAATGCACTACCATTTACCAATTTAAATTCTAATCAAATTCGTTCCGACGACCAAAGAAACAAAACAGAAAATGATCTGTAAACCATGAATTTAATCCTGTTATCCTACGCGAATAGAACAACTCGAGCAACCTTCACGGTTCACCGTTTAAAATCCGCGACAGCCCCGAAATTACGTGATCGGTAACGCGTTGAATTACCAGATAGGACCAGAGAGTACGCTCCGGCCATCAAATGAAAGCCACAACAAGGGAAACGCGACATCGTCCACGAGCATCAGGTATAAACTATCCGTATGTACAAAGACGTGGGTGGTCGACGGGGTGCCGGGATCTTTCGTAGATTAAAAAGGAGGGGAAGAAAGGATCTTTGGAGCTATTTACAAGTCACTGGTGAGAGACGCTGGGTAAAGGGAGGGGGAGGTGGCGTAGTTAACCACCGGGAGGTGTCCCTGGCCAGGCTTATCTGATCGAGAATTCCTAATTTTCCTCGTGGAGGAAAAGATACGGGAGGGGGGAGGGTGGTAGTACACGGACAGGAAACTCGATTTACGTCTCGATAGACGGGAACACCTTGCGGCTTCCTGGGACAGATCGTTGTCTGGGCCCAGAGTGACCAATTATTTTGACGCCTCGAAAGATACACTGACGCCTCGTTAATCACGTAGACTACCCTTTTCCCTTCCTGTTCTCGGCCCTTATCGCCAGAGACTCTCTCCCTCGACCCTCCGTAACCCGGAATTTCTATTTACTTTCTCCGTCGTTGGTTCTCGAAGATTAAGATTCGATGAACGTCCGCAATTTGTGAAACGTTGGTGGTTACAGGGGGGTCGTGAGATTTCCAGAAACACGATCAGGGAACGTTCCTCTCGGTCGATTCGACGATTAACTACTTTATAGTTAAATAAGTACTATTTACAAGGTTACGAGCCGAATAATTTAAACGAACCCATATTTACAACGCGGCGTATGATACATTTCCAGTCAGCGTGTCGGAATCGACATGGCCCTACACGCTTTTGGCTCGAAGCTACTTCAAACTATTTCAACTCGGGATTACTTCGAAGCAAGAATATTTTTAAAAAAAATTCCCACAAACTTTTCTCAGTATCGAAATTCCCGAGATTTGATCATCCGTAGCAACGTTTACGGGTACGTTGAATACAAATCGAGCACGATGATCCAGCATTCTCCTTGAAACGAGTCTACCATTGACGATTAAAAATCGTTTAACGTCTCATGATATCTTCTATAGTGAAACCGAGTTTAGGAGCAGAGGTGGCGGTCCTTTGGATCGGGATCGGGCTGCTCACCCTCTCCGCCATCTGCTTGACGGTCGTGGAGGCGGCGATCCTCGATTCCGTCGTGACCGGTGCCTCGATCCTCAGATCCTGAGGGACGTCCGTGTGAGTCAGGAGATGGGTCTTCAAATTGCTCCTCTGGTTGAAGCTCCTAGCGCATACGGGACACTTGTGCGGCGACTCCTCCATGTGCAGGATCTTGTGCACGGCCAGAGTCCTGCTCTGGCAGAATCCTTTGCCGCACTCGCTGCATTTAAAAGGCTTCTCCTTGCTGTGGATGTACCTGGAGAAAGAAAAACGACTCGTCATTCCAGAGTTCTTCGTTTAGAAGAGTTCGTTGAATTAGAGATTACGAGGAACACTTACAAATATAGTAGTCGGAACAGTGATGGAAGTAGTTAAACCAAAGACACGAGAAATTAAGCGAAATAGTATAGACATTTGTGATTTTTATAGTAATATTTGTTTCTTTTTGGAAGAATAGTGAAAACTGAACATTTCATCAATTAAATTTAATTGAAGATAGGTTTCGACGACTGAAATAGATATTAAATGTATATATTGAATTTTAATTTAATACCTCAACAAGGGAGTTTAAAAACAAAGATCAAAATTTGCAACGATGTAAGAACATTTTTTATTTTTTGCTCGTTTGTTTCACCCTTAAGTGAACTCTCAATCTCAACTGAATTATTCTAAATGGTAAATGGAAATCAACTTTCCTGCAAAGCATTTAAAAAGCATTGAACTGATGGAGGATTACATTTTTCAAATAATTACATATATTATACAGTATTAGTTTAAACTTGCGAAGGACCCAATAATCTATTTAAGGGTTAAATAAGAAAACATGTAATAGATAGTGCAATAAGCCGAGAAAACCAAAACAGATAAATAATAGTATAGGAATGAAGTTGACTGTAAATAGAAATGGAAAATATTTTTTATACACAAGTTTATAGAAAAAATTTATGACGTTATACAATGTAAGAGAAAATGTTAACTGCATAAGTGGTGTAGGAGTTCTGAGTGTAACAGACTATGCACCGAATAAAGAGAAAACTAAAACAAAATCTAGATTTCGAGCATTCGTAAACTCGTGTCTCTTTAAAATTCGATATCGAAGGATCGCGAAATTGTTAGATTATGGTTTAATTCTTTGGGGTCGTATTTATACTTGGGTGCCATACTGGGCGAAATTAAATGCCTAATTACACATAACCCTTAAGTGGATTCTCAATCTGACCTAAATTATTTTGCTTAACGGTGATTTTTACTAAATTTGTAAATGGAAATCAACTTTCTTTTAAAGCATTTAAAAAATAATGGATTACATAAATTTTCAAATAATTACACTGACATATATTAAATGATTATTAGTTTAAACTTGCGGAGGGCCCTTTCGACCTCAATAATTCACTTAAAGATTAAACACAATTTGTGAAATATTATTGCAAATTCTGTGTATCTCCGAAACTTGTCGACTTGGTATAGTATAAGATGCCAGTATGGTTCTTTGCTGTGGTGGCTGAGACCAGACTACACGACTGGAACGGTAAAAAAGTGTATTGGTTGCTGAGTGCAGACATACGACTGGAACGGTAAAAAAGTGTATTGGTTGCTGAGTGCAGACATACGACTGGAACGGTAAAACAGTTTTGGTTGCTAAGAGCAGACGTACGACTAGAACGGTAAAAAAGTATTGCTTGCTGAGAGTAGCCATACGACTAGAACGGTAAAAAAGTATTGGTGACTGAGAGCCACCAGGCATACGACTGCAAAGGGTTAAAGCGTGTTCCGCGACGACACTAGGATTATTATATAGAATGAAACGCGTGAAAACGAACAACGATAAAGGCACCACCGGAGTCGTCGGTCGTTTCCCCACACAAAAACACCATTTTCGTCTCGAAAAGTCCCATCAAGAAAGCACCGTTAACAACCAACGAACGAACGAAATGCACCGTCGTCGTTCGAACTCACCGATGATCCCTCAGGTGATCCTGCCTGCGGAATGCCTTCCCGCAGATGTCGCAGGAGTATGGTCGTTCGTCGGTGTGCGTCCTCTCGTGTATCAGCAGATTGTAGCTCTTGGTGAACTGTCTGTTGCAGAACTTGCAGATGAACTGTTTCTTGGGTCTCTGGCCCGGCAGTCGCCTGGTGAGAAAGGACGCGGGTGGCGGCACGGGGATCGCTGGATGGAGACCCTGATGACCCTGGTGATGATAAGGATGCGGGGAAGACGTTTGGGGGCAACAGCCCCTGACGGCGAGGAGCGCTGCTCCGCGTAGCCAATTGTCGAGGAACGCAGCCTGGTAGCCGACGTTCTGACCGGTGGGTTGTTGCTGGACGAATCTGCCAGCCAGCTGCTGAGACCTGATCCATCTTGGAGACGTGATCGGCAGCTGGTGTTGATGGTGGATCGATCTGTCGAGGGTGGGCGGCGTGTGCGGGGGTGTCAGCGGCTCCATCTTCGCTTCCATGCTTCGCGAAACGTTCTCGAACGATTCCTGGCCGATTTTCTCCAGTTCGTTGGTTAGACGCTAGGCCCAGACGGAGGATCGGCGTTCGTTGTCCGACTGTTTACGCGGATTCACGCGTCCCCTCGCGGGACGCGCAGAGACGGTTCAAAGTTCCGACTATGGGGAGAAAAAAAAAAGACGAAGACGACGTTGCCACGAGAGTCGGCGCAGTACTAAATGCCAACAGGCAGTCGTCGGAGGTTCCAGGGTCGCCGCTTACCTGGCGCCAAGGGGACACGGTGGCTCCTCCTACCGTGCCCAGAACGCTGGATACGCCGGTTGGCGGCTCGACTTCCACAGGGGCGGAGCTTCCGGGTCAGGGTGACCCCTCCGGGCGTCGCGACGCTCATCCGCCGTCGGACGTCCCTGCACGACTTCTCCGGGACTTCCATCGCTTTTCGAGCGGATTCCGTTTAACGGGTTGCGCTCCGGGGATGCCCAGAAATTGCCGTTTCGCGACCAGAGTAGCGTCCGTGGCACCCGGGACGCTGCACCGCGACGGTTATTGTTTTATACAATTATTTTTTAAACTCGCGGATCGATCGGTGGGTAAGGTAAACGTTCCAATTACCGGCCGGATTTTCGCGTCGATCGGAAGTAGAGCCCCGGGACCCCAACGATCTAAAAATTGCAAATTTATTATTTATTAGGCTCACTTGTACTGATATGGAATACTTTTTTTTATAAAAGCTTAAATAGTATGAATTTATAGGAAGTTTTATGCTCCTTTCACTGGTAACGGTCAAATTTAAAATACAAGGCGCGTTCCGAAAATGACCAGACTGTGTTTATATATCGTTTATTCAAATGTTTAATGTTATTTACAATTTAACGCCTTCAAAATACGCTCCTTCCGCACGAATGCATTTGTCAAATCGATTTTTCCAACTTGTGAATGCTTCGTAAGCCGATTGTGGAATCCTCTTCAGCTCTTACTGCGACTTTGCAATTTTGTCTTGTCGATTGTCGAAACGTCACGCTTTTAGTGCCCGACAGGCATTGAATTTCGAGCCAGAAACTCTTGAATAAGTTTCGCCGTATGAGGCCGTGAATTGTCACGATGCAATAGCTACTTTTCTCTCCACAAATCTGGTCGTTTCTTTCGCATCGCTTCTCATAAACACTGTAAAACTCATGCATGCATTACCGACAGGCAATTTGAAGCATCTCCGCTATTTAAGTTGCATTTTTCTTCGAATTAAAGCAGAATTTTACGCAAGTTTCATACTCGCGAAAATCACTCATTTCTAGGAATCAGAATTTATAGAACCATCAATTACTTCACATCTACATAACCGATTATTATGAAATTTGCCATACATGTAGTTAAACAATGGATGATGACAACAGACCCTACAAAGTCCGAAAACTTTTTGAACGTGCCGTGTATAATGACGGCTTAGGAAATGTTTACTTTTTTTACCGAGGCCCTCATTACTTTAATATCGGCTTATTTTTTCTAGAAATCTCACTACTGAGTTGTCTGATATCCGTTTTTATAAAATAAAAACTGTCATTTCTATCTGAAGAAATATGTTTTTCATGTACATACACGCTAGTTGCAACAAATGACAATCGTAATCGATTGTATTCATCGCCAATAGGAAGCAAAATCACGATCTTTTAATATTTCGATGTTCCAAATTAGAAATGTATTTCATATTAGGGTAACTGACTCTATTTATTATTTATTTTACGGGCAATGAGTCCACTGATTTACATATAGTTGTACTTAAAATAAAGGATTACAAGACATTGTTAATCTAACCTCTGAAATTGTAGAAAGATACATTAAAAAATGGTATCTGAATTAAGGAGATGAGATATATAGCTCCTTGAAATGAAAGTGCAAGTAAACCTGGTAGAAGCGTAGAAGTCTATACTTGATAATTGCTGTCCGCAATCAATTAAACCATTAATGACTTTGAAAATTTGTATTTTTCAATGTAACACAACTGATTTAGTCGTGGGAGAAAAGGATAATTTCTATTAAAAGAAAAAGAAGTTTTGAGATTAAAATTCGTAACGTTTTCGCATTGAATAAAAGTTCGTTTTTGAAAGATCGAATACTGTATTTTACATGCAAAAATGAAAGTCTTATGGAACGGAACATAAATATAACTAGAGCATAAAATGAGAAACGAAATAATATAAAAATATACTTGGATTTTGAAGGGATAGGATTATAGAAATGGCTGTCGATGCTTCGTGTTCGTTAGATGGATCTTTCTAGAATCTTGGAACCGAAATTTTTACACTCTCGAATCAAATACGAGTTCCAAGTTCCGTTTTCCGCCATTGCAGCTACAGTGTAAGGGTCAGAAAATTGCCATTTTGAACGCATTCGTCCAACGTTGGCTCTTCTACGTCCGCCATTGCTCGGAATTGCTTGAAACTTTTCCACATATGATACGTTCTTTGCTTCCACTTTCCTTGGAATCTCACTTTTGAAAACACACTTTGAAATCTAAAGCATTTTATTTATCGTACATGTAAATACCAAACGTTTCGTTAATAATTGCGACGATAATCAAGGGGATAGAGTTACTTCGCAAGGTAAAATTGAATTATCGAAAGTATCATTCCCGATTGAAACAAAGCGTAAACGGTAGACGTAATTTATGTCTGTCAGACGTCAGGGTAGAGTGTCTGTCATAAATCAATAAGGACGCGTTGCGAAAAGGGAGTCGATTAATCGACAAGGCATCAAGGAGCTTCAGCCGCGACAGGAACACGTTTCGTTTCCGAACAGTATTAATTGGAACGTGCTGCGGCTTTTTCTCGCTTGTTCGACAGCACGGGCTGCCTTCTTTTTTATTCGTGGCTCTTCGTAATACTGGCCTTCCAGTCAAGATTGCCTTCGTAATCTCATTATACGCTAACGATGTAACGCAGCATGGTGTATCGGACGCCGCCGCTACCGATTCCTACGCATCGGCTGTGGACGATCACAATTTCACCCGGATAAACAGATAATGAATCAAAACAACGAATTCATTAGCGATTAACGGACCGAATTTTATTGGACCGACGATCCACTCATTCGAACGCTCCTTTAGATCGCTTATTATCGATCGTACGAGGAAAATTTCGAAGGAACTTAGAAATTTTTTAAATATTTAAGCGCTAGGTTGTACTTACAGAAATTAGTAAAGGATTGATTATGTTTGGCCAATATTAAAAACAATCAACATTTCAATCGACGCCACTTTTATTTAAAGGTTTGTTAATGTTCGTTCTTTATAAACGTTTGAAAGAAACGTTGTGAGCTTGAAACGTCGGTCACCAGTGACCACCGCGTCCACCTGATAAGCTTCCACTATAAAAGAGAAGGTTTAAAGCCGCCATCTTTGCGAACTTCGAAACGCTAGTAGAAGTATTTTACCAACGTGACTCCTCAATTTTACATGGAAAGTATTACACCTTGTTACAAAAATTAGATACCGAAACACGTATATGTATCATCAAAAATATAAAATGGTTGGACACTTTTTTCGTCATAGATCGTCGAAACTCTGTAAACCGTGCTATTGAAAATACATATCACGCGGCGTAAGTTATTAGTTACGCGCAACAATTTGCTAAAAGAAAATTGAATATTCATGGTTAAAATGCGAATAATCGAACCAGAGAGGCGATGATGGTTTGGCGATAAAAAAAAAGCAATGTACGGGGCGTGATTGAAAGCGAAATTCCATTGTCGAAGATTCGCATGCATTAATACTCAACTGTATACTTATTTTACAATTTATACACAGCACCGTGAATTTGTATAATTTTGTATTCATCCTGAAACATTCGATGAATGCTAAATTATCGTTCAAACCTTTCTACAAAATGGATATTTCTATTTTTCGATTTGATCGATTATACCACAGACAAACGTACATATGTAATTCTATAGGACATTTACTGAATTTATAATTCTGTCGAGTGAATTAATTCAAACTACAATATTTGTTTCCCCGTTTAAGTAAGTTAATTTTCCAACTATTACTAACGTATACTATTTGAAGTCAAAGTAGATATTCCATGAGAATAACATTTAACGTGGAACGAAGATGGACGTAATTTTTATATTTAAAGTATAATAATAAGATTAAATCGATAGAGCGAACGATAAATTCCGTGGAAAAAAGGACTTAAAACTATAATATTTGTTTCTCCGTGTAAATGTTCGATCACTTGCAATGAAATACATAATTTTCCAACCCTAGATTTTGCGTCCACGTCAGAAAAGGAAAAAGAAACACACTATTTGAAGACAAAGTAAATATTTCATAAGGATAACGTTTAACGTGGAACGAAGAAGAAAATAATTTTTATATTTATTAAAACTATAATATTTGTTTCTCCGTGTAAATGTTCGATCACTTACAATGCAATGCATAATTTTCCAACCCTAGATTTTGCGTCCACGTCAGAAAAGGAAAGAGAAATACACTATTTGAAGTCACAAATATCTTATAAGAATAACATTTAACGTGGATCGAAGAACAAAATAATTTATATATTTAAAGTATAATAATAAGATTAAATCGATAGAGCGAATGATAAACGTACGTACGAGGAAACGCAAAAGCACTTCGAGCAGCATACGCGGCAGATTATCTGACAAGGCGACGATCTCATAAATTTTTTGGCAAATTTCCAGAAATTTGCCAATATAATATCGCCGGTATACGAAACGAAAGCGAGTATCTATCAATTTGCGATATCGTAGGCAGTATGCCATTATCGATAAGAATACGTGGTAACACGCTTATCGATTTATGACGGTGCAGACAGCGTGACACCGACGTACAAACTCGTCGGCATATTCGCAAGATTAGAACGAATCTTTTGATATTTACAACGACGCTCGCAAATCTAACAATTCTTCGTCGTGCCTTTGTGTCTGCCGCCGTCGTCGTAAAAAAGAAAACAGAACCGTCGATATCGCGAAATATCGTGAATCAGCC